TTACATATTTCAACAGAGGATGATAACTAGCACATATAGGAGCTTCCCATGGTTCTAGGCAGTTACTTATTTACTTTTCATAACGTTTTCCCACTTACACAAGTGAAGAAACATTTAAACCAAAACCCCAAAATGTTGCCATCTAGTTGATTTGGACTCATGGCAACCCCATATATGTCAGAGTAGAACTGTACTTCTTAGGATTTTCAATGACTTGTTTTTTGGAAGTAGATTGCCAGAGCTTGCATCTGAGGTACCTCTGAGTAGGCTTGAAGGGAGTACCTTTCAGTTAGCATCCAAAGAGTTAATTAACTATTTGAGTTACCCAAGATTCAAAGAGGTTAAGAAAACTTTCCAAAAAAATCAACTAGTAATTGGAAGAGTCAAGATTAAGCCCATAATAGTTTTAAAGTAGTTCTTTTTTGTTTTCTTTTAAAGCCTTTAGCATTTTTCTATTGTACCATCTCTTTTCAAACAGTTGCTTTAAAGTAATTCACATGCTGATTTCTTCTGAATGACTAAACCAACGCATAGGATTCAGAATCTGGTCCTAGTTCTGCAGTTTACTAGTGGGTAGGATCTTTTAGAAAAAAGGATTTTTTAATAGGATCTCAGTTACTGAATTCCTTATTCTGAAGCAAGAAGAAAAAAGCTGTAATTCAGGGGAGGGAGGGTATGAATTTCTTTAGCATTCTACATTTCAGTTTAATTTTTAGAGCTCATTATGTTTTGTTGTAGGAAGTCAGATTATTATTATAGAGTGGGCAGGCTTCAATTCAGTTAACCTCTGTTGAGTGCCTCCAGTGATGTGACAATTGCTCTACTAGGTGCAGAGGATATAGCTATGAAGATGGTCATTTACCTATGTACAACCAAAGGGAAGACTGCCAGTCCTTTACTGTTGTTATATTTGAGTCTACGTGTTAATCCGTGTGTCTTCATCTTGATGTCTTTCTCCGGGGCTGGTCTCTTCGGATACGCTGTCCAAAGCATGTGGAAAAACGTCTCTGTCTTTGCCATGACGTACTCTTCTGGCTGTCTGAAGAAGTTTTCTAAGATTTTTCTTCTGGCAGTTCCTTATATAGTCAGTATTCTTCACCAGCATCATGATTCAAATGCATCAGTTCTTCAGTTATTCTTACTCATTGTCCAACTTTTATATGCTTGGAAAATATGGTTTAGGGCAGGCCTACCTTCGTCCTCAAAATGACATCTTTGCATTTTAACTCTTAGTGCAGCATTTTTGCTCAGTGTAATATGTTGTTTGTGTTTTTGGCTGCTGCTTCCATGGGTATTGATTATGGATCCAAAGAAAAATCCTTGACAAGTTCAGTCACGTCTAATAGCAACAAAGTCGAGTATGACCACAGAAGTAGATGGCTGAAATAGAATGGAATACAATCACTGGAGGCAAGGACCCTTTTCCTGAAAAACCAGGGTGATAAGTAGGTGAGCCATGTAGATAAGTGAAGCTATGTAGGATTGGAGAGATTGAAAGATCAGTGTGAACTTTTCATAGAGGAAATAAAATCAAAATTGCCTCAAGCTGGCACTAAAATGATAAAATACCTTCATATGCATCCATTCTCTTGAGTGCCAATGGAGGGGTATTTCTCTAGCCTTCTCTCAGGTCTATTTCCTTTACCTCTCTTCTAGACCCATACCCTTTTTCTCAAACCTTACATTATGGATTATTCCCCTTTCTCCTTGATTATCAGTGTCTTCCTATTGACTGGTCCACCTGAGCATTTACTCTTAAAAAAGACTAAGGAATTTCCATTCTTAGAACCTATACCTCCCACCAATTCCTTTTCTTCCACTTACAGTCAGAATTCATAAGACTGTTGAAATGTTTTAAGCAGGGATGCATAGAGCAGCTCCTGTATACTGAATGAATTGAACGGAGAGGACAGGACTAAAGCAGTTACAAAGCTGTCATAGCAGTCTAAGCCAGAAGTATGTTTGTTTGGATAAGAATAGTGACCAATGATTTGGAAAGAATTTAATGGGTCAAAAGAAATTTAAAAGAGAATAGGATTTTGTGATAGAGTTAATACAGGGGGTTAAGTAAACAGGAATTGCCTGCTCTAACTTAGGCATATAAGATAGATGGCCATGTAATTTACTTGCTAACGGGAGATCACTAAAAGAAGAATTAAGGGTGCTAGAGGGTTCATTTGCATCTTAAGTGTCTGAAATTCTGAGTAGAACTATTAAGTGAAAATTTGAAGATACAAGCATGAATCACAAAAGAAGGATGGATACAAATACTATAATTGTTGATATCTGCGGGGTAATTAGAAGCCCTGATGGGCTTTGGTGGGGCAGTGGCTATGCATTTGGCTGTGATCTGCAAGGTCAGCAGTTCACAACCACCAGCTACTGCTGGGGGAGAGAGACAGGGTTTTTTACTCCCATAAACAGAAGCTTGGAAATTCACAGAATTCATGAGATTTGAAATGTTTTAAGCAGGTATGTGGCATAAATCAATTCCAATATGCTGAAAAAATTGAGGCATTTCTACCCTGTTCTTTAAGGGACGCTATGAGTCCTCACAGTGAGTTTGATTTTGGCTGATTTTGTATTGTTTCAAACCCCAAGGTCAGCATTTAGAACCTACCAAGTCCTTCTCAGGGAGGGGAAAACAAGATACTTTTTACTCCCCAAAACATTAGTTTTTGAATTCCAAATGGGGCAGTTCTATTCCATCCTATAGGGTTGCTATGAGTCAGAATCCACTTGATGGCTGTGATATTTTGGTTTGCTTTTGTGTTTGTTTGTTTGTAAGTAGTAATTTAAGCCAGAACAATAAAAAGAAAAAATCTAGAGAAAGATACAAAGTAGAAAAAGAATGATTTGGCCTAAGTTTTGGTGAACTTCACTGTTTGGATGTTGATTCAAGTTGAATGAGTTAGCAAAGAAGACAGGAGTCACTACAGAGGTCGGAGAATGTCTTATCTTGCAAAGGGGATATCTGAAGAAAATCAAGCATTTCACATTCATATAAATACTTCACTTAAGTCATTTAATTATAATTGTCTATTTACATGCCTGTTGCCCACTGGTTTATTACATTTTTATAGCCACCATGTGTTGATCTAGCTTGGGGGTTGGCAAGCTTTTTCTGTAAAAGACTAGATAGTAAATATTTTAGACTTTGTGGGTCATCTAATGTCTGTTGCCACTAGTTAACACTGCCATTATATGATGAAAGCAGGTGTAAACAATATGTAAAAAAACAAATTGATCTGGGCTCTAGTAAAAGTTAATTTATGGACAGAAAAATTTGGATTTTATGTGATTTTCACATGTCAAAATATCATTCTTTTTTATTACTCATCCCTCCCACCCCTGCATTTAAAATATAAAAATTCTGATCTTGTAAGTTATACAAAAACAGGCAATAAGCCAGATTTGGCTCACAGATTATAGTTTACTTTTTCTAGCTTGAGCCTGGTGTCTGGTGATAACTCAGTACATTTTTATTAACGGATTAGTACTTAATAAATTCTGACTTCAGTTCATACATGTTTTTTACTATGGTGTGGGGAGAGTAGTGAAAGTAGATGTCTACTTTTCAAATCCCGAGAGTAAGAATTCATACTTTTTTTGTTGTTTATGAAAAGTCAGTATAATATTTTAAAGTACGTAAAAGACTGATTAAAATTTCTTTAAAGATAAAATGATGCTTTATAGAAATGTGAAATTGAGTTTCAGGACTTTTCAGGATACATAAAATTTTTAGCACTGATTTTATTAGTTCAGGAAGGTTTTAAAAACACATGTAGGTATTAAAACATACTTCTATACTCTTGAGAATCCTAATTTGTTTTCATTTGATTTTAGTTACATGAGTATAAGATCATTTCAGGACCTATGGCTATGAACTGTACACTCATAATGAGAAATAGATTAAGATGTGACAAACGGTCACATCTATGTCAAAAGAAATTGGCAAGTGTAATTATAGAGTAGGCTCAGAGGTTGTTATATTGGTCCAAATGTGTACCTCTTACAAAGGATCATTTATGTGGAGAATTGAGCCATGTGAAGAGTTGGGTAGATCTAGTAGTTCTCAATCCCATGAGACCTTGGTGTTTCCCTTAACTGAAAGGAATTTTAATGTAAACCTGAGGTGTCTGCATTCAAGTGATCTCCAAATGATCTTACTGATAGAGATTAGTATATATTGACTGATCTTAAAAGAAGACATTTTGTACTAAAAAATACCTTGTAAGTAGGAAGATTAAAAAAAATGGTTAGGGGAAAAATATTTTATTGACTTACAGTCTCCTTTGTATTCATTGAAAAGCAACCTTTTATTTGAATGATGACACTTTATAGTCTTGGATTGACAGACAGTTGGAAATTAATGTAAATAATTGCCATGTAAGCACCAAACCTCATGTGTACTGAAACAATAATGAAATAAGAAAATTATTCCTATATGAGTAATTTAGTTTAGCCTATAAAACAAAAATGTAGTGCAGTAAGTATCACAGTATGATACTTAGGAAAAGAATGATTGACAATATATTTTCAATAGGAAGAAAACAGAACAGATTGGTGACTGAAAATAATAGGAAATGGGGGACATTTAAGTACACAGGTGTTTTAAAAAGTAGAAAATTCAATTGTATTTCTATTCCGTTTTCCCACAAAGTTTTGAAGCCCCCATCGTAAGTGCAGGTGAATTGAAGATTTAAAGAAAAGCGAAAGAGGCGAACTATTTAATAGGAACCTATGCTAATAGGGATACCTTTTATAAGATAACGTTTTAGAAAAGTATACTTTTCGTTTGGGAAGTCATTGGCTAGTAATATAAGATCTAAACCAAAGCTGATTATCTCTTTAAAAATTTTTGTTTTGAATAGTATTTTGCTTTGAAAACTCAGAATTATTTTTATGGTTAAAATAGTATTTGCAGCTATTTGTTTAAAAAATAAAATGTATGTACTTTGTGGTATGTGGTATTTATTTACTCTTAATGTTCTTTTAAGTGTTTCAGGCTGCATATACCAAGTAGTTCAGACGATTGGCTCGGATGGAAAAAATCTTCTGAAATTACTTCCAATTCCTAATTCCTCTGGAAATCTTATACCGGTAGTTCAATCTTCCGTCATGTCTGATCCTTTGAAAGAGAATACAGGAAGCCCAGTTCATGTTACTTTTCAAACTCAGATTTCCAGCTCTTCCACAAGTGCATCAGTTCAATTGCCAGTCTTTCAGCCAGCCAATTCTACAAAATATTTTCTCACAAGAACAGTAGATGCATCAGAAAAAGTTAGAGCTGCTTCTGTGGGAACTGAAAAGATGACCTCATCTGTTTCTAAACTTCAGAGTCATAGTGTGAAAATTGATGGACTCGCCATGCAAACATTTGCTGTTCCTCCCTCTTCAACACAAAGTGATTCATCTTACATTTTAGTAAATACTCAGAATCTTCCAATGGCTGTGAAGCCTCCAGTTTTGCCTTCTGGGCATCATTTACAGATTCCAGCCCATGCTGAAGTGAAATCTGTACCAGCTTCATCGTTACCTCCTTCAGTTCAGCAAAAGATACTCTCAACTACAGCCACAAGTACCTCAGGAACAGTTGAGACCTCCCAAATACCAACTGTTATATATGTATCTCCTGTAAAAACAGTGAAAAATGTAGTGACCAAGAACTTTCAAAACATTTACCCCAAACCTAAAACCGAAATAGCAAATCCAGTGATACGAAATACCACACAAATGCCAAGCAATGTGGCAACAGAGACACAATTAAAAAGTGGTCAACATTCTCAACCTGCTCCAGTGAAATGGATTTTTCAAGAGACCCTACACCCCTACAGTCCATCACTTGTTCCTGTTAAGTCTTCAAATAATGTGGCTTCAAAGATTTTAAAAACATTTGTAGATAAGAAAAATTCGGGAGACAATACTGTAACTATGCCACCATTGAGTACCATCAGTCCTAGTGGGACACAGTCCAAAACTATACCTATTAAAGATAATGCTTTGGTTATGTTTAATGGGAAAGTCTATCTGTTGGCTAAAAAGGGGTCAGATGTTTTGCCATCACAGATTGACCAACAGCCTTTTATTTCTTCTGATATTCCATCAAGAAAAGACATACCACAAATAGTGAGTTCAAGTCCAATAACAAATATATCCAGAGAGGTTGTAAATATTGTCTTGGCAAAAAGCAAATCTTCCCTGATGGAGACAAAATCACTTTCTCCCAGGGCCAATCTAAGTGCAGAGAAGAATAAAAAGGTGGACCAACCATCTCTTTCTACCCCAAACACACATAACCAATCCATTAACTACTTAAGACCAAGTAAGACTTTATTTACAAAGCCAACCTTTCCCAGTGGATTTAGTACAGGACAAAAAATTCCCAGAGAAGGAATTATCATCCAGAGCATAGAGAAAATAAGTTCCTCTATTGATGCAACAGCTGTTACTGCCCAGCAGGGTGTTTTCAGAGACAAAGAACCAAAGGTAATTTTACCATGTTAGGGTATTTTTATATATTTATATAGAAATTTTTCTTTATTTATTCTCAAAGTTATCTGAGATGCTTCTTTCTTCCTAACTCATCCCATCACACATCTACACACACGAATGCTTAGCTGAATAAAAGCTTTTCTCTGTGGAAATATTTGAGAGATTATGTAATTAGATTCCAAGCAGCAATCTCAAGTGATTTGTAATGCCAAATCATTTCACACAACAACAAAAACTGAAGAGTAAGCAGGTGTAGAAGACTTGAGAAAGGATAATATGTATTTAAAGCTTAGTAAAATTGTATGTATGAGTATGTGTATATGTATGTATACACACATCAAAAAGTTTCCATTGAATAGAATTCTGACTCATGACTCCTGTGTCACAGTAGAACTGTGGTACATAAAGTTTTCAATGGCTGTTTTGTTTTGTTCCCTACCCCACCCGCTTCCTGCCGCCTACTTTTCTCCAAGTAATTGTACTATACATTTTAACCAAGGCACTTCTAAGCATACTCATTACTTCAACTAGCAGCTTAGTGCCTTCATTGCTTATACCATCTAGGGACCACACATACATACGTACATATATATTTAATAACTAAATTTTAGCATATAATGAGATTAATATGCATACAAATTTGTTTTTAGAAGAGGGGGGAGATTAAATGTTTTAAAATGTTTTCTCTGTTTAAAATAAAAGGGATCAAGCAGGGCTGGTTCAATCTGCCTTTCAATCATAAGATTTTATCAGTATCTTTGATTTTTTTTTCCCAGTAGGCAACTTTTCTTCATTTTGTAGTCGGCTCATTGAGTTACCCCAAATACTCACATAATTAGTTTTATGTTCTACTTAAGATGTATGTGTTCACTAAATATTTGTGTTCACCCTTTTCTTAACTAGCGTCTGTTTAAAAATATCAGCATATTTCCCCTTCAGTTAAAAAAAACCCAAAGCATTGAAATCCAGAGCTGCAAGGGGGTGACTTCTAAATGCTATTAACAAAATTGATTTCAGGCATCAGACTTTTTCATAAGACTATAATTTATAAAAATAATGTAGATGATTTTTAACTTGCCATTGGTTTGTATTCTCATTTTAGTTGTTTTGAAAATTGCCTATTCTATGGTACAAGGTATGAAATTAATGAGAAACTGTGGGGGAACATTTTAAGTTTTCTCTTTGTTAAATTCAGCTTTTGGAGTGTGGCTAGTTAAGCAAGAGTAATGCAACCAAACCATGTAGTTTATTTTCAAATATGTTTTCTTTTAAGGATGATAGGGGTAATCAATTGGTGGTTGTCCTGAGAAAATAGTTTTAATAATTTGCAGTATTGTTTGTATATTTTCTTCTTAATTCCAGATCCAGAATGACATGGCATCAACATTAAAAAAAGTTACTCCAGAAAGAAATGGCATGAAAGATGCTCAAGAAAGGAGTAAAAAGGCACGATGTCTGAAGAGTGATGCTGAATTTAAAAAGATCTTTGGCCTCACTAAAGATCTGAGAGTGTGCCTTACTCGAATTCCTGACCATTTGGGCTCTGAAGGTTTTGTTGCAGTTAGCAGTGTGATGAAGGGTGATCCACACAAAAAGACAGACTTTCTGATGAAGGAGGAAGAGAGAAAACAGGTAATAGACTTTACAGTGACCTTTCCAGGTACTATAAGGCAGTTTTCTGGATTTTCTTTTATTAGGTGTATTCATTAGTATGCATGATAGTTACCAAACTTTTAGCAAGTTTATAGATAGTTTTAAGAAGAACTCTATATGTACAGGCAAACAGACATCCTTAATAATGTTTCATTGTTTTTATTCATATGCCTGTTTGTTTCCAGCATAAAATTAAATGGCTATACATTTTGAATTAGTTATTCTACTTTAAAGGCTCTAAAGGAAATAATCCAATTATAGGAAAAATGTAAGCATTCCAGCATTTCACTGTAATGGTAATCATTATAGAAACTTTTTTTTTAAGCCTACATAGCCAATAATGATAAAAATACCCTTTAACCTTTATCTACCTTCATTCTACTTATGACTTCATTATTGCTTAATATACTGGTCACTGGTGACCAATCAGTTGTTAGTTCGCCAATGAAAATTCTCCATATGGGCCTACCTTGAGAAGGAAAAGAAAAAATTCAATCAGTTGGAATTCTCTAAGACTCTGTATTTTGGTGTAAGTCAGTATTGCGCCTCATACTGTATTTTAGTAGCAAAATGATAAACTATTTATTCTTAAAGAATATCAGTAGTACATTACTATTCATTCTGATGTCATTTGTTTTCTGCAGTAGTTGTCTCAGATAACATTTTTAATTGAATTGCTAAGTATTTGTATCTGCTTTTCTAAATGAAAATGACATTTTGTTTTTCTTTTGGTATTTTACTTGACATTGCAACAGAGTTTTGAGAAAAAAAGAAAAACAAAAATCATTAAGAGGATGGATTATACAAAGAAGAGAAAAACTCAGAGTCCTTGTAACACAGCTGTAAACGGGGAAACTAATGTCACCAGTTCTCAACTCCTTAGCAGTAGTTTACCGTCTTCAGAAGTAGCACAGCTTAACAGTGTCACAACCCACAACAAAACCTGTGAAGAAAAGAGAACTGAGATAGAACACTGTATTCGTGGTAACCAGAAGAAAGCTGCGTTGAGTTCAAATGCAAGTGTTGAACAAAGTCATTCCTTTAATAAAACTTACTCAGAAGATGTTTTCCCCATGACCCCACCAGAGTTAGAAGAAACCATTCGAGATGAAAAAATAAGAAGACTTAAGCAGGTGCTGAGAGAGAAAGAAGCAGCTCTTGAAGAAATGCGTAAGAAAATGCACCAAAAATAATAAAATATAGTTAAACTTAAAGACTTCAGTTTAATACTTGCTTTTTCCCCCAGTATACTTTTGTATAAAGTTAATTATAGGTAGATTCTGAAAATGTCTGAATGTGATATTTGATTTTCATCAGTGGATTGTAAATTTTAGGTAAGGGCTACAGAAAAGGTTGCTTCACGTGTGACTCCTATGAGTAATCTATATAGGATAGCTGCAACTTTGTCTTAGGTAGATTTTTTTTTTAGAAGGGAAATTTTATATTTTTCCATTTTAAATACAATTGCCTGAGTGTGGATATTTTTGCAGGACTTTTGTTGTTGTTTGTACCTTTAATAGCTAAATTGCTCAGGTGTTATTCCAACAATAATTATTCTGTATTACTGACTTTTTACAATCCTAGAGATGATTAATTTAGAACCTGAATTTTGCCAGTGGGCTTGTGTATGTATTCACTTGGTCTCTGTACCCATAAAATGGTAGTGTCTACTCACTGTATATTGTACCTTTTAATTTTTATTTCATGAAAGGAAATTTTGCAACATTTAAATATGCAAACTTTTCTTAAAAATGAAGAGTGTTTGTTTTGTAACGTACAAAACAGTTTTGTATATTCCAAAATGGGTTTTTAGAATGCAGGCTATATATGATGCATTGTTTTCTGTTAATTATTCCTTTTGCCCTCAAGTTGATTCTGATACATGGCAACCTCATGTTTGTACAACGTTGCACCTAAAGTTTTCAGTGTTGTGACTTCTCATAATCAGATCATCAAGTCTTCTTAGATGCCTGTGAGTGGACGAACCACCAGCCTTTCAACTAGTAATTGAGTGATTAATTTTTACCACCGCCTAAAAAAAACCCAAAAAACCTTTTGCCATCTAGTCCAAATCTGATTCGAACAGCAACTCTACAGGACAGAGTAGTACATGGCTACTCAGAGACTCCTACTACATGTTTCTGTGGATTTGCCTATTCTGGACATTGAAAAAATGGAATCATGTAAAATGTTTTCTTAGGACTGGTTTCTTTCACTTAGTACTAATATTTTAAAAGTTCATGTAGTAACATGTATTAGTACCTTATTGTTGAATGACATTTTATTGTATAAATACTCCATGTTTTTGGTTATCCATCAGTTTGTGGATATGTTTTCAATTCTTGGGTATATACCTAGGAATGGAATTATTGGATCATATGGGTAACTTCGTATTCAGCATTTTGAGGAACTGATAAATTGTTCATTTAAATTTTGTTTCCCTTACTCCCCCAAAACAGATTTTGTCAGTTCTCATCATAATTTTCCTATTAGCAGAATATAGTTGTATGAATCATTATCCCCTTAGGAAAAAAAATTTTTTATTGTAAAAGTATTATAGAAAATTAGAAATATTAAAATTGAGCATTTGATTATTCAGATAAAAGCCAATGCTACTGCCTTTTTGTATATTATTTCTGATCTTTTTCTGTGCTCCCCCACCACCTTACAAACACATGTGTGTTTTCACCAAAATGAATTTCTGTTGTTCTGAAACAGCCTTCAAGAAGTCAATAATCTTTACCTTTAATTGTCAGTAAATTTTAATTTCTTCTAATATCCAGGTGAAATTCTGATAGCCTAGTTCACCCCAGAATATCTTTTACAAATATTTTTTCCAAAGTAGATCAAATCTAGGTCTATGTAGTTTATTTTGCTGTAGTGCTTTTTAACTGGCTCTGTTTCTTATGACATTAGTTTATTAAATCAGCCAGTTCCTTGACTTTTTTCTTAATGTGTTTTCATTTATTTCTACACTTTTCCTGCCTCAGAGACTCCTATGCCCAAGTCTCCTGTTGATTAGCTTCTCCCCAACCTCTTTGCCATGTAAATATTTTAGGTCTGGACTGTGGGCATGCTTTTTTTTTTATAATCTCACCGGTGATCCCATCCAAATTCATAGTTTAAATACCATATACTAAAACTAAATTTTTTATCTTTATAGCCAGACCAGGATGCCAGGTTTGTATAACCAATTGCCTATTTGAAATTTATTATGTATCTAAAAATTTTCAAGTCTGTTCAAAACTAAACTCTGCTCTTTCTGGGAATCTGCCTCACCTACGGTCTTCCTTATTTTAGCTGGTGACAAATTCATCTTCCCAGTTGCTCAGAATCTCTCCCCCTACTCCCCTCACACCCAAACCCCAACTTACTTTCACATCCCACATCCAATCTAAATCTGTTAATTCTACATTCAAAATACCTATAACCTGACTACTTTTGATCAGTTCTAGACAAATTTATGGGGGAATGATGAGGCTTTCTATAAAGAATTACAGGTCTTGGGACCTCACAGGGGCAGTCCTACTCTGTCCTATAGGATTGCTATGAGTTAGCCGGAAGTTTGTTTGTTTTTTTAATTGGTGTCAACATAAGTGGTTTTCCTCCCTCCACCATTGCCCCCGTCCAGCCTATCCTCAATACAATAGCCAGAGTGAGTCTTTTAAAAATGAATTAAAGGTACATTTACCCCCATTGACTCCATTTCCGTTACTAAAGGCCATTGTGGTGAGACTAAAGATCTAACAGTGAGCAAAGTAGATTAAGTACTAACTGAATTAATCTTTCTAACCTCCCTGACAACACTGTCATAGCTACATGTACCACTGGTTTTGTCTCTGCAGAGATAACTTTTTTTTCCTCAAAAGTCATGATTGAGCTGAAATCTAAAGGGAAAATAAGAACTAAAATTTAAAAGTGGTAGAAGGTAGGGGTAGAAGAACTTTCCCAGGGGAGAAACAGCCAAGTTTCTAAGACAGGAAAGAGTAAGGCCTATGTGAAGAAGTAAAAGGCCAGTATAGCTGAAGTTTTTGGATTCTTCCTCCAACACAATGAGTCTACACTAGTGGTTCTCGCCCTTCCTAATGCCGTGACCCTTTCATCCAGTTCATGTTGTTGACCCCCAACCAGAAAATTATTTTTGTTGCTACTTCATAACTAATATTGCTACTGTTATGAATCAGGTGACCCCTGTGGAAGGGTTGTTTGCCCTCCAAAAGGGTCACGACCCACAGGTTGAGAACCGCTGGTCGACAGACGTTTCTTCTCTTAAACTACCTTACTGCTTCCTGCGTCCTTATTGGTTCTTATTCCAGAAAAGGAACTCATAAGTTAGCCCTCTGATTACAATATTTTCGCACTCCGTTGTCAAAAAATTTGTCATTTTTATTTGAAACTATTAATATAAATTCTACTATTGTGTGTGTTGACTGCTTTTTGTGTGTGTGTGACATTGTTGTGTACTTTTGTAGTTTTTCTTCCTACTCAACTGTATAGTAGTCATTCTATGGGGGATAATCCTACCCTCAACCACTCAAGTATCTTATTTATTCAAATAGCATGCCCACATAAATAATACACACTCATAATTTGGAAATGACAAAACTATGCTTAAAGTTCTGGCATGACACATCCATGCATAAATGACAGATCTGATATTTCCAGAAGTGAATTTTGGCCTTATGCATCTTCAGTCAATAGTGTAAAAATGTTATTTTTTTATTTTGTGTAATGAATGTATAAGCCATAGTTAAGAAATTACAGATCAAGTTTTTTATTTCCCTACTAATCAGGAAATAAATAATTGAAGCCGGGTTTGCTCTTGGCAGTTTGCTGTGGTACCAAAGAGTGATGAATTTTGTTGTAGCTGATCTTGGTGCCCAGGTACATCATGTTGAGAATGGTCAGAGGGTTTGGAGAAGGGATGTATATGGTAAAGTGCTACACTTGAGTGTTGCCACAACTCAAGCATGCACTGGTCCCTGGCAGGAGGGAGTCACCCCTGCACATGCCAATGTTCTGTAGTGCCAATCCTATGTGAAGCCAGGCAGGGTAGTGCAGGCATGGGCAAACACTTTCCTGGACCCATGGGACCCATCTTGTCTAATTTACACATGCCTCTATCATGGCTTTCAGAACCACCCACGGTGGTTGACAATCAGTGCGGTGGAATGGGAGCGGCTGCCTCGGTGGCCTCTCTGGTTTGCGGGGTGCAGACTCAAGCACCCCATGGGATAGGGTGAGCTGCACTGGCAAGGGCTATTTCCAGGGTGGCAAAAGTGACTTCTTCCTGCATTGGAGAATACATTTTGCAGAGTAGGGAAGGAGTGCTGGGCATTAGAGAACTGAAATGACTGGCATTGGCCATTTCAAATCAGGCATATGGTTTACTATACTCAGTGACAAATTCAAGAGAAATGGCATCACACAGTCAAAAAGAACATTTTAAAATATATCAATGTACAAGAATATCTATATACCTACAGGGAAGTCTACTTAATCCAGCTAATACTCAATTTTACACCCCAATTAAAGATAATAATGAAATTGAAGAATTCTACCAGTCAGTGTGAAAATTATCAAATAAGCAATCAATATTGATACTTTTTGGCCATTGGAATGAAAGAAATGGAAACAAGAAGAACCAATAATTTGAAAATAGGGCTATGAGGATAGAAATGAAGCTGAAGATGGAATGATCAAATTTTTCAACATGAACAACTTCATTATAAATACCTTTTTTTTAAACAACTACGAACTGTGACTACACACATGTTGCCAGATGGAATGCACAGAAATGAAATTGACTATATCTGTGGAAAGATGATGGAGAAGCTGAATATCAGCAGCCCAAATGAGGCCAGGCATTGACTGGAACAGACTCTCCATTGCTCAAATGTAAGTTTGAGTGGTAAAAAAAATGGAAGCACATTCTACCTGAATTTGCAGAACATCCTAAGGACAGATTTGGTAGGCTGAACCTGAAAGGCCTGATGAGCTGTGCGAAGATAATATACATGAAGAAAGCAAAAAGTTATTAAGGCAAAAAAAAAGATTAAAGTGGGTGTTAGAAGAGTTTCTGAAGCTTACACTTGATAGAGTAAAGCTGTGGTTCTGAACCTGTGGGTTACTATCCATTTGAGGGTCAAACGACCCTTTCAAAGGGGTCGCCCAATTCATAACAGCAAATTTACAGTTATGAATTAGCAACGAAAATAATTTTGTGGTTGGGCCACCACAACACGAACTGTATTAAAGGGTCGCGGCATTAGGAAGCTTGAGAACCACTGAACTAAGGCAAGTGTAAGATGATGAAGTAAAAAAGCTGAACAGAAAAAACTCAAGGTCAGCTGGTGAATAATTATGATGAAATGTGCAAAGAAATGTTAGAAATCCAAAAGAGAGCAATTCAATATATCTCAAGGTGAAAGAAGTGAAGGGAAAAATTCCAGCTTCAAGAAGTTGGCAATATTGAGGGATGCCATGATCAAAATGTTTAATGCAGGAAGCATCAAAGGACAATGGAAGGAATGCAGAGTCACTACCAAAAGAAATGGAAGAGGTAGTATATGATCAAGAACCAAGGGTACTGAAGGAAGGTATAAGCTTCCCTGAAGGCATTAGCAAAAAACAAGGCTCTAGGAATTAACAGAATACCAATAGAGCTCTTTCATCAAGAAGATGAAGCACTGAAGTGCTCACTCACTCATCTATAGCAAACTTGGAAGACGGCTAGCTAGCCAATGGACTGGAGGAAATCCATATTTGTGCTCATTCCAAAGAGAAAATGACTCCCAAAGTGTGGAAATTCAGTAAGTTCAATATTCAGTAAGTAAAATATTGCTGAATATCATTCAGTAATGGTTGCAGCAGTATATCAACAGGGAGCTGCCAAAAACTCAAGCCAGATTCAGAAGAGGACGGCATGAGGAATATCATTGCTGACGTCAGATGGATCTTAGAGAAAAGCCAATGATATCAGCAAGGTGTTTACATGGTTTTTTTTTTTTTACTAGACAGTCATTGAACCATGTGGATCATAACAAATTTGGGATAACACTGAGAATGGGAATTTCAGAACACTTCATTATGCTCATGTGAAACCTGTACATGAACCAAGAGGTAGTCGTTTGAACAGAACAAGGGAATACTTCATGAATATAAGGAATGATACGCTACATGTAAGAGGAGAAAAGTTGCTCTGGAGTAGCCTGGGGGAAAACCTGACTCATTAAGATTAGTGGGAGGCCAATGTCTACTGGAAACATCCTACCAGAGGCCCTGGGTCATATTTGTATAAATAAGATACATTCCATTGGTAAAGAATAGATGATTATATTTAGGTGAATGGTTATATGTTAATTTGATTGTGCCATTTGAAATTCAATGTAACTCCCACCTAATGACCTTCACCTCTATGGGCCTGGTAAATACTAATAGATTTTGCCTTTGAGTAATTTTGGTCACGATTCCCTGCAATATCATCCTGTGACAGGGTAGTATTACTCCTGTGAATTTCCAAGCCTGTAAGTCTTTATGTGAGTAGAAAGCCCTGTCTTTCTCCTGCAAAGCAGCTAGTGGTTTCAAACTGCTGGCCTTGTAGTTAGCAGTGCAACATGTAACCACTATACCACCAGAGCTCCTAGTTATTAGATCCTAGAGAGGGTAAAATATAGAATATTAATTAAGACAATACAATTGGTGTTGCTGAGCAAATAATCCAAGAAGCTAGATTATATGAAGAACAGGACATCAGAATTGGAGAAACTTGTAATATGCAGATACACAATCTTGCTTACTGAAAGTCAAAAGAACTCAAAGCACCTGCTGATGGAAAAAAGGACTACAGCCTTCAGCATGGATTACAACTCAATATAAAGGAAACCAAAATCCTCACAACTGGACCAGTAGGTAAAGTCATGATAAACAGGACAAATTGAA